ATCAGTGTTATGTAACACTGCATAGGAAACAAAATAAAATATGCGTACATATATACACCTATGCACACACACACTATACATCTTAAATGTTTTTACTCTGATTATATTTGTAATATTTCTACTTGCAAGAAAGCCATTTTTTTTTAAAAAGCTTACTCTTTGGCAAGTTATTTAAAAATGATTACAATCTCAGTAAATTAGATCAAAGTATATGTACATCTGTGTTGTGTGACATTAAAAAATATCTAGTTGTAAAAAATATTTGAAGATATTAGAATTACTTCTAATAAATAAAAACAAGACCTAGCCTAAAAAGCATCTTTTTTCAAATGGTGTCAAGGTGATAATTAATGACAAAAGACAACTACAAAGAAAGATTTGCGGAAAAAATATACTGCCAAGTTTATTTTGTTAAAGAAAATACATCAACAAAAATAAGGTTACAGTGAACTAGGCAAAAATGTTTCTGCGTGCTCATGTATAGGGTGAGAATAGTGTTGTCCTGAAAAGGACAGTTTATTACATATTGTGTCTGCTGGAGATGACTGGAAGCCTACAGTAGGTGACTGGAGCGGTGACTTTCTATATCCAGAATCAGTCTTACAATGATGCTGGTTAAGCTTTTACTTCAAGTTGTTTTTAAAAAATGTGGGAATGCCAACAAGACACAACAAAGATGTCTTGATTGTGTTATGAATCCAAGCAAAACTCCACTAAGACTGAATTTACTACTACTCTTATGCAACACAGCATAGAAAAGAAAACAATTTTCCTAGTTGATTTATTTTCAGAAATACCTTTAAAATAAAAATAGATATTTAAGTAAATGCTCTGTTTATAATAAACAGTATTAACAACGTTTACTGCTCTGAATGTCTGAGAAATTTTCATAGAAAATGTGTCCTCTGACAGGAAATACTTAAATATTTGTATCGAAAAAAGAAAGCATAAACATAAAAAATGTCTTAAAATAATTGTCAGACTTTGTACATTTTCACATATATATATATATATATATATATATATATATATATATATATATATATATATATATATATATATATATATATTATCATATTAGTTTTGTGGAGAAAATGAGATAAAATTAATAAAATAAAATAATAAGAATGAATAAAAAAAGGAAAAGAAATATATTTTCTAATCATATTATGTCTTGAAATATATATATATATATATATATATATTTTCTCGTCATATTAAGAGTAAAGGAACTGGGAATATGATTACCCCATTTGGTTTCAAAAAACTTTGTTAGGTGACGTTGAAGCTTCTTAAAAAAAGCAAACATTTTCTGCCTCACTCTCTTTCTCCGCTTTGGTAATTACATTCCTACTGGGGAATTTTAGTTTCCCCAGTCTACTGATGACTGAACTTTTTTCTACTTTGCAATGACGTCATTCAAATGTATTTTGGCAGCCTTACTCATGAAATAAGTGAATTGGTCATTTCAACTTGGTGCAAAGCTGACCAGAACTTGACCATTTTAACCACTGTTATCCTAACTTCTGAACCAAAAATGGACATACTCAAGAGACATTGGAAACTTTGTTTCACTAGAGTTACCATAAAAAGAATAAATGTCCAGAGTGGAACCCAAGTTTTTGCATGCTTCTATTTTCTTTGTTTACATATTGAACATATACATTCATCAAAAATACACACAAACACACAACCTTGTTAATAGTTTAAGACTTGGTTTAGAATTGAAAAAATAATTTCAGCACTGTAAGATGTTGAATAAGGTTAACGAATTTATGAAAAAAAAATGAATACTTGAAATTTAGAAGTTCATGCCTCAGATATATTGTCTGAATTTTCAGTGTATAAATGTATTTAGCATGCACTTGCTTAATATATTTAATATTAAAAATGATTTTACATTTTATGATGTTCAGATATGGGTTTGTATTACTTTTAGTCTCACTCTGTATGCGTGTGTGAATGCACACAAAGGCTGCTGAAACATTCAATTTTAAATTTTCTTATGGTCAAGCAAAGAACTTTTCAACAGCCTTTCATATATATATATATATATATATATATATGAGAGAGAGAGAGACTTAACAAAGGCTAGGTATCCATATCTCCTAATTAGCAGCTAAACAGATCACTAGACTGATTTTCCTTAGGTAGATCTATTTTACCTATAAACTGGACCTTAACAGATACTGTTTTGAGTCGGAGTGAACCTGAGAGTAATGTCAACTAAGGTGTGAATCCACACTCCCCCCAGGAGAAGGCATTTTGATATTAAAAAAAAAAAAAAAAAATATGACTATTGTCATTGTCCAGAGATTGGGATTAGTCCTGTGCAAGGCTTTCTCTCACTTTAAAAACCTTCAAGTGCAGGCATTGCTTGCTAAAAGTATCATAACATATTTAAGTGATGTTCTATTCTATGTTATTATGGTGAAGCTATTCATCACCAACTGCTTACAGTATCCTTCAATTAGTGAAGAATTTTGATATAGTACTCTTTATTATCTAACCTGGAGAAGTAAACTTATGATTAACCCTATGTGTATGATAAAAAAAATGTAGCAACATGTTCTTTGATGTTGCTCTATCATTAAGAAAAAAATATGAAAGTGACAAAAAAAAAAATGGAGAGAAGACGTAGTTGAGATAATTAAAAGGGTTTTTATTTCCTGTGATCTACAAGGTTTGATCATATGCTTGTTCTGAAGTATTGGATTTGTGGGAGAATGGGAGTTCATTGTGGGTATAATACAGGGCAGTAGTTGAGATACACAGAGAAAATCAAGAAGCATATGTATTTGAGTGAGGCATAGACTTGTGGGAAAAATAATCCACAAATTATATCACATTGTAATAATCGAGACTTTATCTCTGCTGCTGGTTTAATCATTGGCCAAAGGCATCACTTTTGATAGAAGAACCTTTGTGTCACTACTGATTTTCTGGTTATCACTAAATCCAGCCTAGTCAGATCTACTTTCATGGGTGAAATCAGTGTTGGCTTTATGGTGGATCAGTGTCTTACATATGGTGGCTACAAAAACTGAGTGGACTTTTTTCTGAATGGTCAGAAAAGATGTTTTATGATCCTGTTATTTTTTAACAGGAAGTGGGTGTGCAAAGCCGGACAAAATTAAGGCATGTTTTTGTCATATGAGCTGTGGATGTATTATTGAACAATTTTGTTTGAATTAAAGAGTTGGAGTTCTAACAATATGTGTAGCATCCTTTGGTCTTGAGAGACTATGGATCTGAACCCAAAGATTTGTGTTTCAGCTGCTGATAGTAACACAGCATACTGTACAGGCCAACACAGGAGTCTCAGAGAGTATGAATCATCTCCAGTTATGACTTTTTTGAGGAAATTTAGGCATTTCAAGTAAGTCCTGCCTAATTTAAGCACAAAATATCTACATTTGTGACAGCACAAATTTTATTACCAAATATTTCATTATTTGTCAAAACATTAATATCTGGGATTCCCAGATTTTTTATTTTCTACACCGTCAATTTCCTCTGATTGCAGACAACACACATTTGACATGAGTGTTTGGTTGCAAAAGAAGGAACAAAAAAGAAGGATTAAGATTTCAACAATATGTATTTGTCAATACACATAGTTGTATGAAAAGTGACAAAAAATTGTTCATATGTTCCATAGTGGCTGCTGGTAAGGAAAGCAGTTAGGCGTAAGAGTGTTGTTGGTAGGAGTGGAAGTTGACTGAATTCTTGGCTTGGTTGGCTGAGGTCACAGTGTCACGACAGAGGCCAGTGGTGATCTGATGATCTGGATTTTGTGTATGTGTGTGTGATGTCCCCCACTCCTCTTCCTCCCGAAGTGTAGAAGCCAAACTACTTGTCATCAGCACTGAGTGCCATTTTTATTATCTTTGTTTTAACAGTGTAAGCTCCAAGATATATCCCTTTTTTATTTTTTTTATTTTTTTTTGCGGGGTGGGGATGTTTGTGATTTTCTTTAGGCAGATCTATTTTACCTATAAACTGGACCTTAACAGATACTGTTTTGAGTCAGTGAACCTGAGAGTAATGTCAACTAAGGTATGAATCCACACTCCCCCAGGGGAAGGCATTTTGATATTAAAAAAAAAAATATGACTATTGTCATTCTTCAGAGATTGTATTTTAGATTTTTACATTTGTTTTGTGGACTGGATGTGATGCTTTTTATTGTGTTTTGCTTTTCTTAGCATTCACGTTTCACTCACATGTCAGGTGAAATATATTTGTGAATCAGAAAGTGATCTTGATTAAGTAGTATAACAGCTCCCCCAAAATCTCATTCTGATTCATATATATATTGAGTGCATGTGAGGATGTGTGTGTGGGTAAAGGGGATTATTGCATAATGGAATCCTTGAAATGTGCTGGGATCTGTCATTGTGTTGACTTTCTTAAATACCTTCCAAATTATGGATCACTTACAAGGAATTGCCATCTAAGTCTGATGCATTGCTATCAAATTTTCATCTGTACTTCACTTTACTGAAAATTGAAAGCCTTCTAAATCAACCAAACAGTTTCTACAGAAGAATGTTCAAGTTTCAAACAAAACTATGTAGATTCTCTGGTCTCCAGATTTGGTCTTCATGAATGTGATGTTTACACAGTACATAAACTTACTGAGTAGCAACTCTCTGCCAATCAAGTAACCCTACAGATGAGGGTGTTTTCATGCATGAGCAGTAATGTTTCCTCTGATTGGTTGCTAAATTACATGAAGCAGACCTTGCTAGTTCTTTTTTAATGAAACTTCTTTGGAGATATGAGAAAAAACTGATACAAAATATTTAAACAATGCAAGATATCATATATGAAAATTAGTTGGATGTTTAAATTGTTTTTTTTTTTAATTTTTTTTTACTAAAAACATCCACCTTGTTTTCATGTGTTCCATATTATTTACACTTTTTGTACATATTTTTTTCTATACATACTTTTTACTTTATTTATATTTTAAATATATCTATTGTTCTTTTTAGAATACCAAAAAAATGAGGACATCTAGCTGCACAAGGTAAGCTTATCAACAGGTGTACTACCCCGTGTCTTTTCTATAAATACTTCCATGGTAATTGTTCTGATGAACTTTTCTATTTGGTTAAATTCATAAAGTCAAGGTACCACAATAATAGATTGGTGGTTAGGTCTCATCATTTTACTATTGAAATTACTAAATGTGACCATCACTTCTATGCAAGCATTTTTTTTCTTACTTGTGGAACTCTCCTGGTTTCTTCCTTTTTAGTAACCTTTGATCTTTAAAATTTCAAATATAAAGTAAAATTATCATCTTCTTTTTCCATAATAGTATTTTGTTTTTTTGTTTGTGTTTTTATTGTCCTCTCTCCTAAATATTTAAGGTTTACAGCCACATCATATTGAAACACTGGTTCCTGTACGATCTCAAAGTTAAGCAATGTTGAGCCTTGTCAGTACCTAGATGGTAACTGCTTTGGAATAGCAGGTGATGTAAGCTTGGATGTGTGGGTGGTGTAATGTAATGGCTCAGAATTGTTAATCAGAAAGCTGAGTTCTAATTTCCATTGTGTTCATTATATTCATTTATGCTCAAATAACCTTGAGGAAAGGTATGGATCAACCTCTTCTCCCCTAGATATGGGTTAATTAGTAACACCTGTATCGTTAAACCATTATCTCTAAAAGAAAAAAAATTCTTACCATCTAAAAATATTTTCAGGCTTTAAATAACTTGCTAGGTCTTGATAAAACATGGAAAATGAATCAATAAAAAAAAAAGATGAGTGAAATAAAGGGTTCAGTTTGACATTCCAACCACCTGAAGAAGAGAGAAACGTAATAAATATGGCGACAAAGGTGAGGACAATAGTCTGAATAATGTAAATAGTGTAAGAAAAAAAAAGATTAAATCTTTTTTTTCTTTTTTTTTCTTCAATTCTTTTACACTACTCTGTAATTCACTGTGTCTTAATGGCTTTATCACCTTCCTTGGGATGAAATGATTGAAAAAAAAATAAAACAAAAAAAAAATGCCCAGTTTAAGTTAATCCTAGTATTATTAATTTGTTTCTAGTTTTACCTAATATTCTTATTTCTTATGATAACTTTGGTTATACTAAAAAAAAGTAAATAACTTTAGTAGATGATGATTGTTTCTGAAAGTATGTTTCTTTAACGACCCAATAAAGGAATATAGCACTCAGTTAAGTATTGGAGTATTGATTTATTTGAAACTTATTATTTGCTAAATTAATGTTTCTTTCATAAATTGCTTTTGATCAATATGAGCTTTGTTAATTTTGGCAAATATAATTAAACATTTTTAGCACAATTACCCAACTAGATTTCTAAATATCTCACATGAATACATGAGTTCATAATACTTTCTATCAGTCAATTTAAAAGAAACCTTTGACAGTTTTCAGTTTCTCTAGGAATGTTCCTTTTATCAAAATTGTTGCTTTCAAACAAATAAAAATATTTGTATTTTATATTTTATGAAAATGCATAAAATACAAATAAATATAAGACTGTTGATTTTTAACAGAAATTAAAATCTGTATGTCACACTTATTTCTGTGGCTAAAAATAGACCTTAAGTTAGTCTGCCATAGAACTAATGAGAATTGACCATGGGAGTATATAAAAGAGGCAGCAAACCCTTTTCTTTCTCTTTTCTCTCTCTCTCTCTCTCTCTGGACATTTGTCACAAGGCTCAACCTTATTTTTTTTTATCAGTTCATCACTGTACAAAAACTTTGTATTAACATCTCCCAAAGTGCAGCCTTCACAAACAGGACCATGATCCTGAAAAAAAGATGTCTAACTGTATAGTTCAGGTATGGATATAACAACTACACTTGTACATTTTTTCTCACTTTTTTTTTTTTGTTTTGTTATAACTTGTTTTCTGTGTAGCTCAAACTGAATGGCACAGTCTTATTTACTGGTTCTATCCCAGCCTGAATGATCTGCCTTCTACAACTACTAGGAGTAATGTGAGCAATAGACAGTAACATCACATGTCATTGTTTGAATGTAGTTTAAGGAGTTACCTTTAAAAGCTTTAGATAAGAAAAGGATAGTGATTTTCTAAGCATAGCTTAGATGTGGCACAAGGCCGAATTTAGGGGGCGCCCAGTGAGAATCGAACTCACTACTCAACCGTAATAGTTCTAGCGAGACAAGCTTGCTAACCATTACACCACCTCGAGGTGCCCTTGATTTTCCAAGCATAGCTTAGATGTGGCACAAGGCCGAAATTAGGGGGCACCCAGTGAGGATCGAACTCACTACTCAGCTGTAATTGTTCTAGTGAGACAAGCTTGCTAACCATTACACCACCTCGAGGTGCCCCAGAAAAGGATAGTACCTACAACAATCTAAAGTGAAATTTGATTGTATTTGTTTAATTTTCCGCTATCTTGTATTTAGACCTCCCTAGCTGTACTCAAACTCAGACAAGCTTTTGACCTGAATATACTTGAGTGGGAGCTTGTATAGCCAAACAAGACTAAGCTGACTCATCCAAGATATGGTCAGTGTAACTAGTTGCAATAAACCAAAGTTGACCCTTGTAACCAAAGTCTACATATCTCCTCAGATGTTCTTTTTGAAACTGTTATTTTCTGTTAAAGTCCTGAAATGTACTGACATTCATTCTGCTTGTTATAGCCTGGTTAGTGTTATCACAGTAAACCTTGCAATTAAAGGAAATCTTCAGTTTACCTACTAAAAATAGTCACTTGATACTATTATATAGAGTCTAATCTAACAAAAATCTTTTTTGCTCTCTGTAGTTATTGGGAACATAAATCCCTCTGAAATTAAATTTACCCCCTTTTATATTAGTAACTGCACACAACCAGCTTGATAACAAATTCCCAACTGACAAGATTAATTTTGTTTTTTTAACACCTTTTCAACCTATTGCTGGTTATTTAAAGCCAAAAAATATTTTTAGATTGCAAGACTTTTTGCAGATAATAATCATTCACTGATACAAGTCCTGCTAATTAACCCATACCTGGAGGAGAAGAGATAGATTCATACCTTTCCCAAGAGTATTTAAGTGAATATAACAAACCTAACTTGACTTGGAACTCAGCTCTCTGATTCCCAATTCTGAACCAATATCCATTATACCACATCCAAGCTTAGAGCACCTGCTATTTCTCAAGCAGTCACCCATCTAGATACTGACTAAGTGCAATGTTGCTTAACTTCAGTGATTGTATGAGAACTGGTGTTTCAATGTAATATGGCTGTAAGTCCATTTAACAAGAATTGCATAGAATAGTTATACATGAACCTTTTCTACAGAATATTCTTGTAGCTACTGGCAATCAGTTATGTGCCAGAACAAACATTCTTGTTAAGTCTCTAAAAATCAGGAATAATTCTAGCCTTTTTAAATTCAGATCTTGGGCTCTTTACAAAATATTTTGCCACTACTTATGCAGACTGGTTGGCTCATAAAAATAGAGAAAAATTCTGGAGTAGTGATATACTGGGAGACCTAAGTAGATCTATTTTCATAGCACTGCTTAAGAAGCCAGGTGCAAACGAATGTGAGCTCCATCGGACAATCAGCTTAATGAGCCATATATAACGAAAGTGATCATCCAAATTCTGATGAACAGAATGTACAGAAGAATCAGACTGGAAATAGGACAAGAACAGTGTGGGGTCATCAAAAACACTGGAACAAAAAAAAAATCAATATATGTTTGAAGATTGTTTTTTTGTAAAATAAAATATAAAAATGTATATATATCTATTTTTTCTTTAATTTAAAGAAATCTTTTTGAAAAAAACATTTTCATACTTGACATTTATAAGACCAGATTACTCTTTAATAAGTCAAGTTTCAATTTTACACTGTATTGATAATATGAAAAGGACCACCCTTTTAAATTCATTTAGAATAATATGAACTATATGCCTTTCAAAATATATATAAAATATATAACTATATACAAAATAAAATACTTATAAAATAAAATATATATAAATAAAAATAAAATAACTATATACCTTTTTAAAATATATAAACTATACCTTTTAAAATAATATGAACAGAACTCCACTTTTAAAATAATATGAACAGAACTCCACTTTTAAAATAATATGAACAGAACTCCACTTTTAAAATAATATGAACAGAACTCCACTTTTAAAATAATAAAAAATTGATATTTTTTGCTTCTGACAAATATCATGGCTTGAGGCAGGTTTAATGAATGCCAATCTACAAAAATTATTTTGAAAAATCTTCCTTTTTTATTTATTTTTTTTTTTGTACAAGTGGATAAATCCATTTAAGTAATGTCCTTTCTTCAAACTTGCTCATCTGGAAAACATCCAGAGGAATCATGATCTATCTAATTTTTTTATTTGCACTTCTATGCTCAAATCACCAGTTTCTTAGAGGGAGGCTAATTTGGTTATCATATACAGGTTGGGTGAATATATATTGATTCTTGCTTTTAGCAATGAATTATTAATTTTCTTAATGACTGGTGAGTGAAGTCTTCTATTAGCAGTATTGCTTTAAGACTTGACCTAATCCGACATAAATTTGATAAATTTGTACAAGTTAGTCACTTTGATGAGTGACTTCCATATGTGAAAAAAAATCTCTGTAAGACTATATCTTCATTTTTAAAAATTTTTTTTTAATACCATATCATTTCAGATTAGTAGGTAATTCTGTCCATCCACAGAATATCTTTCTGTATTATCTGTGAATTGCCGAGATTTGATACGGATGGTGGATTTTTTTTGCCTTCTTTATGATTTTGAATTCAGAGTTGTCTTTCTAGAATAGCTGCTACCCAAAGAGAGTTCTGTCTACTGGGATATTTAACCAATAGCTGGGGGAGAAGAGATGAATTCATACCTTTCCCAAGAGTATCGGTGCAAAGTGGACACAAAACTTGGCTAGAATTTGAACTTATCTCGTCAATGTCATTTTTCCATACCATGAATTATTATGCTACATGGAACATATATCTTACCACAATTAAAACTATT